TCATCACTATAATAGCTATCTCTATCACTGTCATCACAAAGATGATGCTCACTCTGGGAGGAGTTAACCTCCATTTCATTAGACACGTGGATATTTGTTCTTGAAGATGCAACAGAAATTTTACTTGTAGTTGGCATTTCATTAATAAATTCGGCGGTATCAGTTGTCGCTCTATAATTAATTTAAATAAAACTGATAATTTATTTTTGTTGAATATTAAGATGTTATATAATAAAACGTTATCGAACTGTGTATAATCCAAAAACCACACGCACAAACTCTTAAAAACCAAAAATTAATTATCCGAGCCTTCATTTTTTATTTAAAACTTCGCCAGGAATAATATTTATGAATAAAATACAAAAACGGCACTTGAAAGAGAAAATCAGCAATTTGGGCGACTGGTGTTTGGTTTGCAAACAAAATTAAAATATAAATATTTATTTGTATAATAAGTAACAAACTATGTTATGATTATGATGTTTATGTTTATTGTTTACAGTTTAATGTTTTAAGAAAGATGAATAGAAACAGAAAGAAAGATTGACCAACCTAAAAAACTGATTTAATCGAGAACATTTAGCGGCGGCTTGATTAATTAACTCTTCTTTTCGTTTTCTATTTCTCTCTTCAGTCGGCATTATTAGAATATTGGATAATTACAGAAATGTGTAATGTGTTAAGTGATTTAATAAAGATCAGTAAACAGTTTCCATGGAACGGTTCAAAAGCAGAACAGATAACAAAATAGCGATGTGCTAAAAGTTCTATTATAAAAGAGTATTAAAATATCTAGATCGGATCGGTAAAAATTAATGCACACATTTTATGCACATGTTTTGTTTTATAGTATTCAAAATATTTCGCGCAATTGCAATATCAAACTCTATGTAAATCGATGTTTTGGGGCAATAGGGGCATATTGAAATGTTGTTATTTTGCGGTGGGGGGGCCGGTGGGGGGGCCGGTGCAAGGGCATGGGGTGGCCCGGCCACCCCAGGCCCCCCCGGTGGATCCGCCCCTGTTTTTTAGTTATAAAAAAGTAAACCTTTAGTAACTTTTCTCTGTCTATGCCACTTTTCTGGACGTAACTCACGAATTTTTCAATAAAAGAATCCATATCGCAAAACTCGCAATTGTAAGAAAACTAGTTTCAAAAATTGATTTGAAAAAGCCGCCTAGCAAACAAGCGAACTCTGTATAAAAGCGAATTTCTACGCAACAAATTTTAAATTCACTTATTGATAATTTTTGTGTTACCAAATTATGAAATTATGAATTTAGATCTATTTTTGTTCTTATTATATATAATTGTTTTTCTTTGCCGTAATTATGTGTATTAAACAATTTGTGTGTATAACAATTATTGACATTATATACGTTTCAGTTCAATTATACACGTTTAATTGCATTTCTATTTCCATGTTAAGAAACCACGTTTTTCATTTCTATGTTGGCCATTTTGTTACTTGCTGTCAAGGTTAAATTTATAAAACTGTTCGAGCAATGTCTATTTTGTTGTTTGGCGACAGTTATGTGCGTAGAATGGAATTTTTTTTTAAAATGACGTTATTACCCACAATAATAAACGTGTCATATTAAAAGGAAAGCCTGGTGGGAGGATCGGAGGATTGATTAACTTCTTCCGGAAGCATACCATTCCTATTGAAACAATAATCCTTTACATCGGAGGTTGATCCATTTGTTTAATAAATAGTTTAATGTTGGTTCATTATTCTTTTAATATAATAACAGTTTTGTTTAATTTTTAGTCATTAAAATTAAATACCAGGCAATGATTTGACGACTGAAACCCCGGAACTCGTGGCCGCGAGATATGAATCCTTACTCAGACTGTTAGAGAACAAAATCAGACCGCGCCGAATAATCATATTAAGCCTGGTTTATAGAAAAGACGTTCAGAAATGGAAAGTTGATTAACTAAATGTTTCATTGAAACAATTCCAGTCTAACATTGTTCATTTCTGGAAGCTTGACAGAGTGGGAGGAGGTAATAATATAGGACCTGACGGCATCCACTTAAATGAACGTGGAATGATGAACTTTAAGAGAAACATCATTTATTCTCTAAAGTGCACGAAATAAATTTTTAACGTTTTTATTTGTAATAAAAAGTTTATAAAGTATGCATTGTTGTTTAATATATCTTTGTATATATATATTATATATGTACCTATATATCCATTTTTTTATATAAATGTGTTTGTGTGTGTGTGGTATGACTTAATTACTCACTAAAACATTTATAACTTTTTTTATTTAACGTTAAAAAAAATTGCGGTTTCAAAATGTAACAAACAAATGTCATAAACAAACCCCAATATCGAAGTTGATTGATACACAGGTTGGGGTTGAATGTTATTAGCATCAAATATCATTACAACGAAAAAGAAAGTTATTAAATATTCACCATAAAGGTTAAAGGTTTCTCTCTCTTTTGCGTTTGCTTCAGAGGTTTCAACAACAAACACACACGCATATATGAATACGCGTGCAAACCACGTATCATACACATTGCATATGATAGGCGGGGATCTCTTTGTATTCGAACCCAGTCAATGCAATAGCAAGACCAGGCGCCTTTAACCATTGAGCCATCACGCCATAGTTATGACAAATGAATACTTGGTTTCGTCGTTTTCAGGTTTAACTGATTTGAAATAACAGAACTACTCTTTCTTTATTTCCTGTTCCAAAATAACATTAAAAATTTGTCGATTACGTTGAGCTGTTAACAATGGACAAATGCCTCCATTTTACAAATTCTGATGTGACGCAGCATCAGAAAAATAAAACTATTGACGAGCAACGTCCTGGATTGAACGTGCTGTTTCACTGGCGAAACATAAACATCTGGATCGACGCTAATCCGGTCCGTTTTGAGATGTAATTTTTATGTCACCTTGGACCAAAAAACAATGAAGGAAGTTGAGTCATCAACTACCACTAAGTGTGAAATTAAAACAATTTATATTAGTATAAATGTAATTCTTTTAAGAGAAGCCAACAAAAAACGGGGATATGGTACAAAAATTTGTAGCAAATAATTCGTTTAAAAAAAGAAAAGAATGCCGCGAATTAAAACACGAGAATTAAAACATGAACATTTCTTTCGAAAGTAACGCTAGAGTTTAAACATGCAGAATAATTTTAAAAGTTTTTTTTAATTTTATTCCGTTTCAAAACATAATCTGAAAAACATCTAAAATTTAAAAAAGTACAATCACGGTATTTATTCTATTATGGTATTGCCATTTTGTGTTAATCAAATTATAAACTATACTACAAGCAAAAGCAGGAATGACGTTGTAACACAACAGATACAGGAAACTTCAAAACTGTGGTGCACTTAGGTTGTTTGCGAGATAATAACAAGGACCAAAAACTTCCATAATTAAGTCCAATACTTCTTTGCAGTTCCTGTTTAATTCACCGAGTTCATTAAAATTAATTTATAAATCAAAGTGTAACACAATTTTAAAATATTCGATAATATACTGTACAATTTTTAAATTGTATTATGATGTCAACAAAATAATATATAGAATCTTATACTAATCACCTGCGTCTCGAACCGTTATTTTCGTTACCAATCGACAGAGATTTAAAAATAATAACGGTAAAAAATATCTCGTATCGTTATAAAACGATACGAAAAATCTCGTATCCTTTAATAACAATACCAGAGATCTCCTATCGTTATTTAAACAAGACATTTTTAGGAAAGTCTATCATATCGAAATAAAAAATAAAAGACACAATTTTCGTCTCGTACCATTATTTCAATGTGTGGAAATGGTAAAAGTGCACATTGTAAAAAAATAAAGTGTTATAAAATATTAAAACTTATTTAATTTTTTCCAATTGAATGACTTTGGTTTAATAAAGACTCTAAAAATATCGTATCGTTATTAAAACGAGACATTCTCCAAAAAGTCTCGTATCAAGTAAAAAATACGAACAAAACAAACTTTTCTTTAATTTTTCAATTGAATGGCTGTTTTCTGGGCGAAATGACTGGGCGGCGTGATAGTCTAATGGTTAAGGTCGCCTGGTGCTGTTTCGCAGTAACCGGGTTCGAATGTGACAAAAATATCCCCGCGTATCATATGCTTCGTGTGTGATGCGTCGTTTAGCGCGATGTTCATTTACGATGTTTTGCACTCTGTTGAATCCTCTGAACTTTGGAAGAGTGTAATTGACCTTACCTTAATACAGTACATTTTGTAAAGCGGAGTTGGCAGGAAAACAACTAAGGGCAGACTGTAAATGTGCCAAGCATCATTGTTATTGCGCGATGTTCAAATACTATCTTTCAAAAACTCAAAAATCATACAATTTGTGCACATACTTGTGCACATGATTTTATTATATCAATATATAGTCTTCAATACCTCGTTATCGTATCGTTATGTATCGTTTTCAAAATAATAACGAGACGCAAATTCTTATGTAACAAAATTAATTTTTAATAATTCCGTGTATTTTCATTAAACGAAAATTTATTAGATCAAACCGTTCACCCGATTTGACATGATTGAGTCCGCCTGTTGGATACGCTTCATCGAAGCCGATATCGTATCGTTTCCAAAAATTAACGAGACGCAGATGCTTATATAATAAAATAAAATTTTTAATTATTCCGTGTAATATTATTAAACAAAAATATATTAGTTCAAACTGTTCAGCCAATTTGACAATATTGGTTCCGCCATATTGGTTTTATTTTATATAATAAAATAAAATTTTTAATTATTCCGTGTAATATTATTAAACAAAAATATATTAGTTCAAACTGTTCAGCCAATTTGACAATATTGGTTCCGCCAGTTAGATGCACCAAAACCGTCGCGAACATTACCTTCGTAACATTGTCTATGGGGGTAAGACGCTTCTGTAATTTAGGGGCAAGAGACCCGATTTATATTTATTGAACTATTTAAAAAATTTCAGATATTTGTATGTAGGCAGCTATCCTTGTAGTTAATTGTTAAAGTATTGAAATTTATGTTTTATGTGTAAATTAATTTCATGTATTTTAATTTTTAAAGGTATAAAATGGTCAGAAATTATGTAAGAAAATCTACAAGATGCTCGACTTATGATGGTGAAAGTTTGAAAAAAGCATTGGATGCTCTAACTAACCAATGGCCAGTTACTTAGTAAAAGTAAAGTTATCAGAGAATATGGAGTTCCTGCAAGAACTTTAAGAAGACATCAAAAAGCCATGACAACATCTCCGTGAACTATAAAGCTTAGTCGGTTTTCAAGCGATCTAAAGATTTGACTCTTTGTGGGACATGTTCACATTTTTGTAATGATTTCACAGGATTTCAATGAATAAAATGCCAAAAATGTAACATTTGGCATAGCAGGTCGCACGATTTTTCAAAAAATTTTTTTTTGTATATAAACTACTTTTTCTTATAAAGCAAAATTTGCTGATTAAAATAATACCAAATTTATTATTGTAGCATTTATAGTTACCGAGAAAACGAATTTTGAAAGAATTATTTTTACTTTCAACTTGCGCCATGTTAACAGTGGTGCTCAATGTTAAGTGAGCATGGAGCGTTATATTCGCGCACAAGACGGGAAATAAATGATTTAAAATTGAACACAAAACAATTTTTTCTTGTTTTTATAACAGCTGTAAAATAAGAAAATAATAATTATGAATAATTTATATTTATAATAAAATTTAATTATAAATGATTAATTATAATTATAAAATAATTATATATATCTATAATTTATATATATTATATATAAATTAAAATTTAATAATCATAATCATATTGCAATGGTATTTATAATTTTATATTATATAATATATTATAATTTATATGGAAATATAATTCATTTATAATTATATATTATTATTATATGATTATTATATTATTATGTTATATTGATTATTATATTATTATCATAATTATTATATTTCATTATATGATTATAAAACTTAATAATAATAATCATATTACACACAAGCACGCACGCACAATCACACAATTATAAAATTAGCAAAATTTATCATAAGATGATTTTTCATCAGGTGAAGAATTCCATCCATACGTGTGGACTTGTTGAGTCCTAGAAAAAAAATTAAAAAATAATTTCTTGCGTTTAATTTTAAAAATAATTTTAACAGATGTTAATAAGTGGTTATTTATTGCCATTTTTAAAAAATTGTTGTCATAATTGTGAAAAGCAGCTATGTTGGATGAAAAAACTACCAATACAACACACGCCATTTTAATTTTCGGACCGGCGTGTTGGCACGGAAAAAAATATAAAAAAAAATCTTGCTATACTCTAAATACAAAAATATTTTTAAAGAAAATTAATAAATGGGTAATAAACAAAATTCTTTAAAATTATTCGTTTTTATCCAAGAAACTTAGCAGTTATGAACATTTTGATAAAAAAAAACACGACCAATACAATGCATTTTTGTGACCGCATGGTGCATACGGAAAAAAATAAAAAAAAAAATTCTGCTTATACTCTAATTTCAAAAATATTTTTACAGAATGTTAATAAATGGTTAATTATCATATTTCTTTTAAAATTGTCGTTTTTACTCATGTTTTACTAAGTTTTTAAAAAAATATAAAATACACCAACCTCGTAGTCTGCCGCAAATGTGACTCACAACAACAAAAAAAAAATATTTTTATAATAATACATATTTCTTTTATCGCTCATAACATCCGAAAATTATATAGATGGGCGCATTTTTGAAAAATAAACAAAAATAACAACGACGAAAACGCGAGTTTGCGATAGTAATGTTAAATCGCTTTCAGGAAAACGCGGCAATGTTGAGCGCGCGCGCTATCGCATTTTTTAACGTTGTGCGACCTGCCAAATTTTGGCATCATAATTCCTATGTATAGGGCTGGAAGAAGACCATCGTAGAACTTTTATTTGTATCAATTGGAACAATAATTAACAATAAAATTTTTATTTTCTTTTTATCCAATTTATATTTTATGTACAATAAAACTGTTAAAATGTTTTTACATTTTCGGATTTAAAACTATTTTTTAAGGCTTATTTTAATAGTTTTTCTACACAGGTCTTCCCATTTTATAGAGGTCTACGGTTTGTGTTATAAAACACAGGGAACCTACGTTTGAACAATTTAAATTGTAAAATTAGATAAAGGACATATCAATCTAGTAAAATAATCACTAATGTTGTAGAAATATTCCATTTTTTAGATGTAGTCACTCATCAAAGGCTTAGCTATGGCTTCTTGCCCCACCCTACCCTACATATAAATTTACAAACTCGTCAGAAAAAGTATATTTCTTTATAAAATCTTCACTTCAACAATATTTTTCAAACCAGATCTTAAAGCAGATAACAAATAGATCACGTTAAATAACAAAATATAAAATATAATATACGCAGGCGAAATGTATACGATAAATGAACAAACAGTGAAACAAATGAACACATTTTAAAAAATTCTATGCAACATCTTGAATGAAATTTCTTAAATTAGATCTTGAAGTGAATGACAATTGGAATGCGTTAATTAGAAATATACGAAGTATAAAAAATGCTGTCGAGATTTAAATAAATGAACAGTAGTGAAATAAATAAAACAAAATGATTATTTAAAAAATGTGACGAAACCGAATAGTCGTCATACACCTCTGGATCAAAAAGTGGATCTGAAAATGTTTTATACAACGCTATTAAATGCGTGAAGATTTATAAAAATCATTGCAAACATTCAAATGTCTATCTGACATTCGTAGTCGAATCTTTCGGGAAGAAAGTATTCATCAAATAAGGAAAATGTTACACGGTTCGTTAAAACACGAAATCCTTCCAGCAAACATAATTATATTTTACACGAAACCATTTAATCAACAAAATTATGTTAATTTCAATTAAATAAGTTGAAAAAATTGCTAACCAAAATTGGTTTTGAAAATGAATTCTGGATTTGGGAGGGACCATCCGACATCATTGAGTGCAAGAACTTCAAGCTGGTAGTAGGTGTTTTGGTTCAGTCCCTGAATCCTGTAGTACATGGATGGAAATGAGATGTCTGTTGGCTTTATTCTTCGTCGCCATTCTCCAATAGGTGTGTCCAATTCAAAAGTGTCCGCTATAACGGTCACCTGTTATAGCCAGTTACGTAATTTGTTTCATTAAAATTATCACTTACCATAACCTCTTTAAATACAACTCTGGCGTAGATTGACAATTTTTGTGGGTGAAATTTGCTCATATTATAAATCAGATAATCTCTTCAAATTTTCAAAACATGACTAAATTGGGGATTAGAGCTGTTAAAAACCAGCATTTTTTTAGAAAATAACGCATAACTGGTTGTTGTGAGAGCTGTAGCACCAAAAAATGTCTTTGGCAAGCATGCCTTGAAATGAAAGTATCTACAAGAATCTACCATTTTATGAGGCAATCTGAACAATATGGATAGATAGTACTAGAAGAAGCAGACTTTATATTCAATTATGTGATTAAAAGATGATTTCCTAATTAAAATCGTGCATTTAAATAACGTTTAGAATGTTCAAAACAGAATTATTATTATTAACGGGGTTTAAAGTGGTTCAGAAGATTATAGTCTGTGTAAGAACCACTACAAATTAAATACTTCGCGTATTCTGAACTGATATTCTCTGATGGCAAGACCTCCAGTTTCTGGTCTCATCCAGGTCACAGTGTACTCGTACGGGAACTTGCTTCTAGGGTCAGAGTTCAGGATGATGGGGTAAGGGGCACCTGTGTTAATGTTTTAATTGTAGTTATGTTCTGTAAGTAGAAGACTTGCTACCAACTTATATCCAGTGTCTTCCCGGTGATTCGCAATATATCTCCGAGACCCATTTCTGTTCTTGCTCGTACGAGGATGTCGTAAGTGTTGCTCGGCCTCAAGTATTCAATTAAAAACCTTTCAGCTGCAAAGATTTTAAATCATTCTGCATTGGTCAGTAGTTTGAAATAGTCTACAACTAGCAACGATAGAATTTAATTTACTCGTCGACCACTTTCAGTTACTATGAAAACCAAAAATTTGTCAATTTTTGCAAATAAGTTAAAAATCTGGAACAACAATAATGATGAAAAGTGACAACATCGATATTGATAACAATGATGATGATGATGATGATAAAGATGAGAATAATGATGATGATGATGAAGTTGAGAATAATAATGATGATGATGATGATGATGATGAAGATGAAAATAATGATGATGATGATGAAGTTGAGAATAATAATGATGATGATGATGATGATGATGAAGATGAAAATAATGATGATGATGATGATGAAGATGAGAATGATGATGATGAAGAAGATGAGAATAATGATGACGATGATGATGAAGATGAGAATAATGATGATGATGATGTTGACATTGGTCTGATAACGATGGTGAATATCAGGTTGGTGACATCACTTGTGAGAAACTCTAATATTCTGTTTTCACACTGAACCCAAAAGCCAAGAAGTCTCAATCCGTAGAGAGATTGAGGAGGAGGAGAGGTTATGGAGAGTTCGATGGAGGTCGGTGTCGACTGGATGACTGTGGCCTGTGATGGCGGACCGGGCAGGTCTGCAATGTTAACAAGTTATTAACGTTATAATCATTTCGCGGATTTTCAATGTCACACTCATTCTTTATATCAACAAGAATTAATTTTAAAATTTATTAAGATGAAACTAAGATTCTCTTGAAACTGCTGAGTAGGCAGTCAAAAAGTTAACGGTTATAAATAAATTAATGAAAATGAGTTGAGTGATAGCTCACAAGCTCTCTTCATCTCAATGGCCTTCTCACTAGTCCCAATGTTGTTCCTCACTCTGCAGTAGTACGTCCCATAAATGTAATACTCATCTACTTGTCTTATTGTCACCTTCAAAAAATTCCCATCACAATTTACAACATGTGGTATACAAATAACAACAGCGGACAAATTATTTTTGAAACAGCTGAGTAATGTATCGTTTATGATGTGTTTATAGGTATTATTGATAAAATGGTTTATTTAATACATGTGTATAAATATATTCATTTATTATTATGTAAAATGTATTTACTCAAATTTCAAGTAATTCAAAACTAAAAGCAAAACTACATTTTTAAAAACTTTTAAAATGAAAAAAAATACAAAAAACGGTTGTATGATTGACTTGCAAGTTGCTGTTTCTGTCCATCAAATGAATTCTGAAGGTTTCGTTGTTCTGCAGCAGTCGGCCCAGTCTGTACCATTCCACCACAGGTTTCGGCTCGGCGTAGTACAAACACGTCAGATTCCTCGCCTTGCCGGCCCAGTTGAACACCGCGTCAGGCATGTCTGGAGAGAACTTGGGCACGTCTGTTTTGTTCAACAGATAGCTAAATTTATCAATAAGTTTGCAAAATATTATAAGAAAAATATGTTTGATGACAAAAAATTTTATTTTATTTAATTTTGATATTGGTTTAAAAGTTCAACTACTTATGACGAGTATCGGTCATACATTAGCTGCCACCTCGTAATACCGATAGATATGATGGATATATAAAAAGTTTTTAATATAATTTTTTAAATTTTTTATTATCATACTCATTTAGGTTGATATTTTATATTTTTGTGATAGTTTCAATAATATAAAAGAAACATATGAAAATACATTAGCTTATAGGCTTTCACCTGAGCTCATAATTTCTTGTTAAGTTATATAAAAAATAAGTGTGAAGTGGAATATGCATGATGTGTTTGGTCCGAATCAAAGTTCAGTTATTAAAAATTAATGCTGGAGAAACAGAAGTTAGGCAAAGCCATTTGAAAAAATGAACATGCAATGATTTAAGAATAAGATAGGCTGCTCTAAAAAATTTAAATAATAACAATAATAACAACAACGACAACAACAATAACATATATATTGATAATTTAATTCATTAATTGTGCAGAGTAATTGAGAACATAAAATAACACAGAGTATGAAGGCTTAACAGTAGACGATGATGGAGCCATTCCAAGCATGGTAGCCACCCTTGTTCCTGGCTTTGCACGTGTAATTTGACGAGTCGTCCCACCTCAGAGGGTCGATCGTCAGGTCCAACTCTCCCACACCTGGTCTCGTCAGGTTGATCCTACCGCCTTCCTGTGCGTTGTTTTGTGTTGTGTGTGTGCGTGTGCTATATGTTATATAAATGCACCTCATGCTATATATGATACATATATATGTATGTATATATATATATATATATATATATATATATATATATATATGTAAGTGTGTGTGTATATATATATATATATATATATATATATATATGTGTGTGTGTGTGTGTGTGTGTGTGTGTGTGTGTGAGTGTTTGTGTGTGTAATAAATTTCCCCGATTTGTTAGTGCTTATCAACTTATATTCGAATTTTTCAATTTGTCCCAGTAAATTTTTATCAACAAAATTAAGTTTGTTTAAAATTGAAGCTTTATTTTTATTAAAAAACTTTTTTTTAAATTATTGCTGGTAGATCTATTTCGACGTGAAACCGTCATCGTCAGTGCATTATTTAAAATTTATTAATTAGTATTATTATAGTTTTAATATTATTAAAAATATATAGAAATAAATTCGAAAAAGAAACATAAAATTCTAATGAAAAGTTTTTTATTCGAATAATTTTTCGAATATAAGTTGAAAAACATTAATAAATCGGTGGAATTTATAACGTATTGTCAAGAATTCGGTCTTCTAGCAGCATATTCGTATATATATACGCATACATATATATGTTATATAGTGTTAGCGTTATACACTGTACAAAATTATGAGCTCCTACATTTGGTCCCATGAAGTAATCCTGAGACAGTCCACTTCTGCGGTACGTCATGACCGGATCAGGATCGCCATACGTCAGGCAGACCAATGTCGTTCGAAGTCCTTCAGTTTGAGTCACGTTTCTCACTGCATATATCCTCGGAGGTACTTTTCATTGAAAAATAAATTATAGCTTTTGAAACCAACATTAAATTAAATTTAAAAAATCTGAATAAAATAGAGCATAACAAGCCAGTCTATTTTAATTGTCTATTTTGTCTATTTTAATAAACGTCAGCTAAATGTTTATTTTAGGAAAAAAACTTATCAATCTTCGTTGACACTTTCAGTTTCAAGAACGTCCAACTCAGTCAACTTCATCAACTAGCACACATACTCAAATGTGTCCTCAATGATCACTGCTAAGAAACTGATGCCGTCGTAATATTCTGTGAAACTACCCAACATAAATCTCAACCATACCTACGACGGTGAGAACGGCGGTGGCAACAGATTCGCCAGCATCGTTGAACGCGTGGCACTTGTACGTCCCTCTGTCCTCAGCTATCAGCGGCCTGAAGTTCACCTGGCCTCCATCTCGATCCACCTGGATTCGTGCCGTGCTGAACATTACTTGGCCCTCCACATCCTGCAACAATTTGTTTGAGGTGCATGCAGGCTGATGGCATGTCACGCTGGTTCATTCATCATATACTGTATATATTAGGCTGACCAGAAGCTTTCTTCACTGACGTAACGTAACATATTCTATATAATGAATTGAGGGATAAAGAGTTGGCAACTAACTTTGATGAATTCATATTTTGGCACTGGTGACCCAGTTGCATTGCATGTCAAGGCATACTCCTGGCTAGCTATGCCCTCCTGATCTTCAAAGTACACAATCTGTGGAGGCACTGTGTTCAGTTTGATCGTTTGGTTATGCGTTGTGTTTGATGTTTGTGTGTGCGTATAAGTGCGTGAGTATATAAGTGTGTACGACTGTTACACAAACGACTGTCAAATTTTTATTTATCGATTATTATTCTTTATAAATTGTGATTCCACGTGTATATTAATTTTTATTGAATTGAAGATGATTGAAGCGAACCTCTGACGAGTACATTAATTTCTCTGCAATGGACCTCTCCCTTACTTTCGACCTCAGCACAGCATTCGTACAAGCCATTGTCTGCCTCAGTAATGTTTTGTATGCGCAGACCGTACAAGTCCTGTTTGTAACGATCACCTAAAAATTGTTTTTATTTAGAACCTGATCAAAAATTATTTAGTAATCTGTTAACATGAAATGAAAAATTTAGGATGACAACATGAAGCATGGATGTCTGCTTGTTGCATCTAAAATAATAAAGCTGTTCACGTAGTATTGATAAAATGCCGTTCATCAAATGGTGTTTGAAACAGATAAAATGTGAACAAACATTAAGGAAGTGAATCTCAATGACCTGCTAATCTCACCCCTTTATACTTCCAGAAGACATCGGGATTCGGCTGACCGGAAACTTTGCACATGATTGGTCCATCTGAATTCATGTTTGGGTACTGTTCGTTTGGAGCATCATCAAATGATATGTCCCCTGTAATGTGTTAAATTCAAATGAATTCAAATCATTGTAAAATATTAGTTACCTGGGAATTGTAATAAATGCAAACCACAAACTTGAAACTTTTAAAGTTACATCAACTTTTTCGATGTTGCCAGATATAAGAGCGACGCAGGAATACGTACCTGCATGCTTCTCCATTATTTTTCGAATGTACAGCTTACTCGTTTGAGCTATTGACTTGTCAATATAAGGCACACTGTAATACATTTAAATTTTTAAACTTTAGCAACTTTGGTGCTATGCAATCAAACTATAAAAATTGTTATTATTATCAACATCATCATTTCTGTAAAAGTTTAAACAGTTCTAGCTTACAGATAAGCACAAAATGAAAGTCAGCATTAAGCTGCCAACTTTATTGTCAAATTAGCTCGGTTGATCACCGAGTTAGCTCAGTCGGTAGAAGCGCGAGTGACGCAAAAATACATAATGTGTATGTACGTTCTGTGGTGTGAATTATGCAGCTTTTGTGGCCACAAAGTTTTGTTATAAGTATAGAATAACATGTAAACAATTATGCGTTTGACAGATCTGCATTAGGAAAACAAAACAAACTTGTCTCTGCCAGCAGTTCGGTCCAGAATCTCAACAGGAGGACTGCCAAAGAACCACTGAATGTTGATAATGTTTCCGAGTGGATCGCTGTTCACCAACTTGCAAGTTAGGACCAAATCTTCCCCCAATCCTTTAACATGCGTGGGGTCGGATGGAATAACAAGAAGATCTGATGCAATTTGGTCCTCGCCTGTCAAATGTGATCGTCATATGTTCATATATTTGCAGGCAAATTTGATCTTTTTTTTCTAATTTTCCCTTATTGGATCACTCTAGGATATCAGCGGTACACACTTCGACGCATCACATCTACCGCATATGGCAGGAATTTTATTGCATTCGGACCCAGTCACTGCATTGTCACTAGACGTCTTTAAGTTATCAGTTAACTATTAAATTAAACCCTTACGTTTATGAACCTATCTGTATCTATTCGATATCTATACTCTATATCCATTCTCTATCTCTCCGTCCATCCATCCATCCATCCATCCATCCATCCATCCATCCATCCATTCATCCATCCATCCATCCATCCATCCATCCATCCATTAATTCATTCATTCATTCATTCATTCATTCATTCAAATTTTTGGGAATATATGGAAATATGGAGAAACGATAGAGAAATTAACACGAACTATTGCCCATTTATTTTGAAATTATCTAGGAATAATTAAGTATCGATGATTGGAATAGGTACTGACAAAAAATTTATTCCCGAGATGGGTAGGTAATAATGACAGCGCCTATTAGGAGTTTGTTTTTTGTGCACTGGTTTGGAAAAGACTATCTATAATAAAATAAGCATGCACAGTTGCACACTATATGCACACTATGGCAGCTAAAGATTTGAGATTTCTTCATTACATAGAGACATAGAAAACTGCTTTCTATATCTAGGCTTCAATAAAAAGATACATAGATACATATGCAGGGAACGGCTGTAATTAAATTTTAAAATGATTTCATTTCGTTTTTTAATTTAAATAAGTTAATGAAAGTTATCTAATAAAAAATATATTATTTATAAGCGCTGATTTAAAAAATACGCCGGGTATTCTAATTAATATTAAATCTATTTCACTACTGCCGTTTTAAATTTACAAATACTAACCATATGAAAACCAAATTATTAAAACAGCTATTGATATTAATTGTAAAGCAATCATTTAATTAAATTTTATTGATCAAAAATTTTAATTATTTTTATTCATTTCTTATTCAGTTCAACTAACATATCAATTATAATTAAGATTTAAAAGGTTTAAGAATCACAAACAACAACTAAATATTAAATATATAAATAATATAGTTTATTTAATGTTACATCATTTTGTGCGTGTTAATTTTATATTAACTTTTTAACCAATCTAGCATAATTAAAATTTAAACTTTGAAATGACATCCTGCACGCATATTCAAACAGTCCCGAATACAGCGTTTACAATTTACATTGAATCTTTAAATGCTTTGTTTACCATCAACAGATGAACACAGGTGGGTAAGTGATGCGCGTTTATTGTTACAAAAAGTCAATGAATGTGTATATTATTATAATTGTTATTATTATTATTTCGTTTATTAAGGAAACCAAAAATAAGTTAAATTAAACTTGTGGATAGGTTACCCTTAACTAACAACAGTTTGACACATGTATCAAATTTTCTAAAAAAGAAAGTTAAATAATAAAAAAAAGTTAAATAGTTATATATATATATAAATGTATATATATATATATATATATATATATATATATATATATATATATATACAGAGTTACTAAAAAATATCACCGCATTTTCCGCATTGCTGAGTTTGTAACAACTAAGTTTTTCAATTTTTCGAACTATTATTCTATCGATATTATTAAATTTATTCAAATTAATAATATAATTTTTAACTATTTTAGACTGCATTTTTCATATATACATTTACATAAAAGCTTTTTTCGGTAACCTTTACCATCATCAGTGTAATAGAATTAGTGATATTATTATATGTATATATATATATACATACTATATTTTGTATGTATATACATATATATACATACATACTATTATATGTATGTATATATATATATATATATATATATATATATATATATATATATATTTAAAATATGCTCTCATTTTTACAATTGTCACTGGTAATCATTACAAGATTTCCAGATCATTTCTTTTCATTGATTTCATTTCTTTGATTTCTTTGTTTTCATTTGATGAAATAAAAAATGTCAAATACATATATATATATATATATATATATATATATATATATATATATATATATATATATATATATGGAACAATCTTCTTTACACCATCCGCATATCTGTAATATCACTTGTGCTGTTTTGATATTTTATTTCATGAACAATATTATATCTGATAATGTGAACTAAAGACCGTTATATTTTTTATTTGTATTTCGATATTTCTTCCTGTATTATTCCAATATTGCGGTTGATAATATTTGAAAGCGCTTTTGAGTAACTTTTTGAAAGGTGCTCTATAAATTTTCCGGTAATAATAAAAAAATATATAAAAATAGTTACTTGTTTTTTCGGGTCAACTAATAATCGCTAAAACTGATACGATAGCTTTTGATAAACTTTCCTAACAGAGTAACTAAATGACAGTCATAACAATCAACATAGTTAATAATTCATGAAACTTAGCTGAATGCATTTCAATTGATGATAAAGCCCAGCGTTGAATCAATAATGTTTTGTTGTTAGAATTCGTTTCCAGGACAATACACCCACCCTCAACTATCCAACATACAATCGTTCATTTCAGTGCAGAGACAATGGAAAAAACTGATGAAGATTATTTAAAAGTATTAAACTCGAAACTATTCTTATCTGCTGTTGATGATGAAACTCAGCTTAACGTGTACGTTTTTTACATTTATAATTAAAAAGGCTTTAAAATTCTACAGCATAGTTGCATATACAGCTCTTGGTTTACAAAACCTCAAATACGTATAATTTATTATAAAAATGAAACATTAAGAAATGCATTTATATAAAAAAAATCAACTTTTATGACAACAGCTTGGACCATGTACGGGATACGTTGGTTGATGTTTTAATGGGAAGACCACGCAGATACTTGGAAGCTTGTGATACCAATAAAATCCGTGGTTCCAACAAAACATTCAGCGATTTCAACGAATTTACGAAATATATTAAGTTTGTTCAACCTATCAGAAATTTATTTCAAGTTAGCTTTTTAATATAAAATATCATTTATGCTCAACTCTGTTTTTTTAAATTCAATAAATTTATTCAGTACCATTTATCATCTGCCAATGAAAATGACGGTGACTCTAATTTAGAAATAGAATATCCAAACCTATTGGAACAATGCTACAATTTTGAACAAGTCGGCGTCGGATTGAACAAGATTGAATATTTCCATCTTTGGATATCGATAAAAAAGTTGATGGATAACAATCATCATTTGCAGTCAATAAGATTTTGGGGCAAAATTTTCGGAACAATAAAGAACTACTATATTTTGGAATGTGAAATGAAGTACGATGAAGAAGACGAAACCGATACAAAAGAAGTTATATTAAATTTTATCAAATAATGTTTGTTAACCTAACTTGTTGTTAACCAATCTATTTTTGTCTATTTTTCGGTAACCGTTGCATTTTGCCTTAGGAATTAACAAAAGAGTTACATTTTGTAAGATTTATTACTAAAACTCACCAAGGGAATTACATTTAAAGCGTAAAAACTAAATCAATAGTCTTTCCTATTTCACTGTTGAGTAAATCTAGGGCTCCCATATGCCCTTTTTTCAAGAAGACAGTTTTTTTTTGCGTCGGCGTCCTTTTTTAAAATCTGTCCTATTTTTGTCCTTTTTTCGCTATTTAGCCTCAAAATATCTCTATATAATTATTCACTTTCATTAATCATAATTCTGCTCTTAATTGCTTCCAGTAAAATTTATAATATTATAATTTAAACAGTTTAATTTATAAATTGAAATTTCATAGTTGGAAATTTCAACTGACTATACAAGTATTAAAAAAATTAGCAAAGGCGAAAATTTTGCATTTTTTTAATATTGTTCAACTGATGTTGGCATTGCGAACGCAGGTGTTTTTTCTATTAAACAACATTTTGAAAAGGAAGTTCTCAAAAACAATGTGAAAAATAAAAGGTCCACTGCCGAAATATCAACGTTTTTTCACAATAATAAATTTGCAGCAGGAGCATTTGCGTATCAGACCGCTGTTCACTCATTCATTATCGTTAAAGCTGCAGATTATACAAATCGTTTGATTTCAACTGTTTTCGCCGAATCGGAAACTGGTCGAAAATTTTCGTCTGGTCAAACAAAAACGCAAGCGATCATTTCATGAGTATTGGCTCCGAAATCTGTTGATTGTCAAAAACTGTTGATTACATTCAAAAGTGGTTCAGAATTACCGATTATCCGTCTTCTACTAAGCGGTTAATGCTTAAATCTGTTGAAACAATATCGTGTGAAGATATTCGAAAATCTGCAGAGTTTCTAATGCCAAAAATTTCTGTGAAAGATTCTTTATTTGATGAAACTTGCCTTTTAATTTTAATGCTGAAAGATTCCAAAGAAAGTTTTCACGAATTACCGGTAGACAAAAATTGGCTTTTTTGTTTCAAAATAAATCGTTTTTGGATTTGAAAAAATTGGTGTACACAATTTTTGCCATCCCTACGTCAAATGCTGCTGTTGAGCGAACTTTTTCTTTGTGCAAAAAGCAATGGACTGTTGACAGAAATTGTCTAAAAATTGAAATTGTTGAAAGTTTAGTACAGGTCAAGTTTAATTATTCGTTAACATGCTCTGGAATGTAAAATTATTTGTTGAAAAACGATGACTTACTTAAACAAATTCAATCGCCCATTGTGTGAAAGAAAAAATAATAACAAAACAGAGAATTCTTTGTAAAAAAAATTTAGGCATCGCTGAAGACAAAAATTTAGTCATACTTTTGAAACATGATGCAATCATCCTCATTGTCTACAAGTTTTTGAACTACTGAAGCTCAATTAATCCATCTGATAAGTGCGTGTTGGTTTGCGTACATTAAGTAAATAGTTAGCGTGTTTTTAATCATTAATTACCGGAAGATTTTTATTGAATGTTTGCTATCTGAAGATATATCATCTGCTTTATTTTGAATAAGTTTGCTATAATATCGTTTTCTTGATTACAAACACGTATTTTATTTTTCAAATTTATTTTCACACGTTTGCAAGGAGGATGAACTGGCCGAAAATGATGCTGGAGGGGTCGACAGAGAAAACGATGAAGGTTTACAAAATCGCAAAATTTCAAATTATATTAAAAATTTTAAATATAAATTTAATTTTAGAAAATTAAAATTTTGTATCTGATGCGAATTGTTTTAATTTTATTTTATAACGATATAAATCATAAATGCCATTACAAATACAAAATGAACTCCTTTCCATGAATTTTTTGTCTTACATACAAACAAATTTTCAGTAACGGTGCAGTTAGACGTTCTTCCAAAAATTAAATTCGATAAGCAAGTGATTCCCAAAGAAGATTCTGGGTCAGGTACAAACAAGAAAACTTATTTTGTAACTAACACTATCGGTCAGGACTGGATTCAACTACCCCATGTCACACCCGCACAGATAACTTATGCAAGACTGATCAAAAAATTTTTCACCGGAAATGTGGATCATCGGGTTTAAATTTTTTGTCAAATTTCATTTCGACCTCATAACGACTGTGCATATCATAACCGTTTTATAACGAGGTGATATCGCACTATTTTTCAAATCAGGTACAATCTTCTCCACCATTTTTTGAGAAAGAAATAAATTATCTACGCGCTCAAATTGCCAGAATAAGCGCAAGCACCGACATTTCTCCCGTGGGATATTTCCACTTCGATGAAGACGAGGATGACGACATGTCCAACAAACAGAACATCGTTATGAATACCGAATATGAGGCCCTTTCCGTGAAGGAACTTATTGACTCCTCTCTGGTTAATTGGGTGCATCATTCGCCTTATATTTTGACCCAGGTTTGAATTTAATTTAGGTTTCATTCATGAATTAATGAAAATATGTATTTGTGGCAATCAGCTTTGTGCAAATAATTAATTTCCTACCCAATCAATAACATTAGTCCGACAATTCGGAAACAACAAAGGTTTTGTAGGTTTGAGCAAATAAAACCACATACGAACATGAATAAATTAATAATACTCGACTAGAATCTGGCTATTTTTAAACTACACACTTCAATTTATGAGAAGCGCTGTACAAATTAAACAGTACAATACAACCATGCAATAACAGTGACAACATTTATAACGATAATTACTGAAATCTCTGCACTATTACGACGTCAATTTATTGCAGGGAAGAACGATGTGGTGGAACCCAGTGAAAAATGTTGATGAAGACAATGAAGATAATGAGGAAAACGAGTTGCCCGGAGTTGAGCCAGAAATTGGCCTTCCACTACTGACACCACTTAGCGAAGATGTCTCTATCAACAACGTCCTCCCATGGATAACAAGGAAATCGACTTGCTTCATTCAACAACACGCAGTCCCATCCATACATTCAAATCTTTGGAGGGGAGCTCACGCTTACTCAGCCAAAAAGTTATATTTGTTACACTGTTTAAAAGCATTTAAATGTTGCTAAACGAATGTGACTATCACACTCACTTCTCGTGCGTAAATCACCATCCATTAATCCTAGGAACTACGAAAATATTTACTTTGGCTGGGGCTTAAAGAACACAGGAAAAAACTCTGACATATTTCACCCAATGATATTAATGGAAGAATATCTGGACGGACCACAAAACTCTGAGATGGACGACCCAACGCCGCAAAATGTAAGTACATGAGGTGGCAATAAAAATATTATTCATTATCAAAAAATTGCTGTTAAATCAAATTTAAACGGTGACAGATTTTAAAATATTTTTATTTTGTAAAAATGCAAATCATTATTTAACCATATAATGTTTGATTTAAACATACAAAGGAACGTTTAACAAATGACAACAAAAAAGATTTAAACGAAAATGGGAAAGACAAGAGCGAAGACAATGATGATTCAAACGCAAATCAAGATGATGAAAATGAGCCCATAGATGAATGACATTCTAAGAATCTTCTCTTTCAACTCGTCTAAATTTAAAAAAAAATCACGTCAAATAATTCTTAACCAATTAGTGCAGCACAATTAATATTTTTGTAAGCGTGTCTCAGATTTTGCTGTATATACACATACACAGAAATTTAATTTTTTTGTATCTTTCAATAAATCGGGACAAAACAAATTGCATATTATTTAAGAGAAGAAATAATGTTAATATGCATAAAGTGTCGTTGAAGCATTGTGCAAATAAAGTCAAATAATATGACTGACAGAAACAAAAACTAAAACAACCTGCAATTGAGACATGTGTAGAAAACTGTTTGACCTTCATCAGCAGATCTCATCTGTCTTGTGTAGTACGCTGCCATGTTGTATTTACAAAACCTACATTGGTGTTCAATCTGAAATTTAACAAAGCAAAAAGAAAATCATTTGAAACATTCATATTAAACGTAAATTAACAGATGGGAGCTTGAAAGAAGTAAATGTAACTTACTGTTGGTCCAATAACTGCTTCTTCTGGAAAATTACTCACTTCTTTGTTTTTGGAATCATCACTGTTGTATAGCAAATCAAACGATGATTCAATATTTGAAAAATCTGAAATCAAAAAATATTTCATGTGACGGGGCTGATGAGATATATATCTGAAAGATGAAACTGTATATATGTAAACCGTAAACATATAATCTGTTTGATTTCAAGTCTATGTTAAGATTTGTTTTTTTAAATATTTTTAGAACTCTTCATTAATATATATATATATATATTTCAAAAATTCAACGCTACTTTCAACATTGTTCAACATTTTTATATTTCTTTTTAATTTATTAATGTCAGAGAAATTAGA